GAATTATCGGGTGCTTGTGACTGTTTACCTGCCTCCAATCTGCGCTCATCCTGAGCTAGTCAGCACTGTACCAGTCAAAAAAGGGAGAAGGGAATTTAAATTTTAATTTAAAACCACCAGACATCTCGCATTGGATCCTAAATTACTCTAATACACTCTGCTTCTATATCAGAAATGCTAACTCTGAGAAATGGAAGACGAGATTATGTTAGCAGATATAATTTAGTATATGCATTAACACGAGTGGGGAGATCTATATAAATGTATATGCACAGACATATACATATGTAAGTTGGTGACTGCATCATTAATATGAACAAAAAATTAGTATTTATATTTATATCACTTTCTTCCTCACACCTTAAAAAATCTTTAATCCTAGAGGAAAGTTTAAAATGAACTTAGCTAATTGAACTACAACATGATAGCAAATACCAGTATAGTCCGTATAAATTTCGGTCTATGAAAAAGCAGCCTGTTCCTCTATTCAGTTACAGAGAAATTAATCTAAAGCACTGTGATGATAGCTTCACTAATCTCTCCAAAAACAAACAAACTGCGCCTCCGCTGCAGCACCCCTGCCACTGCGGAGCCTACGCTGAGAGGGCTCAGCCTCCCGCAGCGGCCAGGCTCCCGGCAGGAGCGTTCCCAGGTGATTTACGCAGGTCCAAATGACAAGGGAAAAGGCATGACTCATCTTGAAATGAAACTATTATAACGAACCTGTAAAGGACAACCTTTACATTCTTAAGTGCCTTTCTCTCTTAAAACTTTAACAACAAGAAACTGGTAACGGTCTTAAATAAAACACCTACTCATTTTCCACGTCTCTCTGCTCTCCTGTGCCAAATTTTAACATAAATGGGGAGAATTAAACGTAGCCTATGGCTTACCTAACATAATTATATGTTGTGTTTTACACTGTTTCAAAACGGATACATTAAAATAATCCAGTCTTGGCTCCTACCCACTCAAGTCAATAACGGTTACTAAGGCCAACTGCCATAGAAACGCACTGCTGGCCCAGCGCGAGGACTGTCAGGACAGGAAGTGCAATTCTAAACATTCCAAATGACCGGGATCTCCTCTTCTCTCCTAAAAGAAAACAGCAGGAACAAATTTCTCTCCGGTATATAAATCATCAGTACTTCTGAAAATGTTTGCCCTGGAAACTATTCTAGAATATTTCCATTGGATTACACCAAATTGATTTTTTTTTTTTAAGGTCAAAAGGAAATGAATAAATGTCATCAATTTAGAGGACATCACACCTAACATTCTTTTCTGTATCGCTGTGAATTTGATAGTGTTAAAACATTTTTATAGGTAAAATAAATGTCAGCATTGCAAAGCGCGATACCAGACCCGGAGAGACAAACGGTCTCGCCGCCGGGTCTCGGGCTGCCACGAGCCCTCCTCGCCTCACGGGAGACCGCAGCTTTTCATAACTCCCTTTACCCAGAAAGCAAAGCCCGCACCGTTTCTTTCAAATGGTAACTCTCTTATCCTGAAGAGTCTCCTCGTAGTACGCTAATCTTGGATGTGGGGTAGCGGTTGACGTAAAAGAAATAAAGTAAAATACAAATATTTGAATAGTGTTATCACACCTTCCTGAATAGGGAGCAAAAAGAGAGGAAAGACTAGGCTCAATTCCTGGGTTGTGAGGAAGGGTTATGTTGCTTTGGGCTTAATGGCTCATAAATTCATGAGGTAATATTCAGGGAAAATGTGATATTTTATCAGAATGTCATTCAAATATAAGGTCTAACATTTACATCACAAGAGCATGCAAAGAGTAAAACCATCCTCGGGGAGAGAAATGGCAAGAATGAACAGTGTGATAAAAACGGCGCTGGCTGGGACGGGGAAGTAGAGGCCAGGGAGTTTTGGGGACAGCTGACTCAACCTTCCGAAATATGGGACGGGTTAGGACACGTGAAGCAATTACAATTAACGGAAAAAGCGCGATTTCAAAGCTCATTTTCCAGTCTTCTTCTACATCCGACCCGAGACTACACCTTCCCACCACGAAGTGGGAAAAGTGCACACAGACAGAGAAATTGCCGCACAAGTCTCTTCCCCGGTCCGAGGGCAGTCAAAGGGCGCTTTACTCATACGCAAAAGGCGAAAAGTAATGTACAAATGGCCCAAGGTTTTTTGCTTTATTTTCTCACCAAAAGAGATCGGTGCTATTTTGCAGAACAGACAAAATACATTAATTAGAGAAGTCTTTCCACAACACACATACGATTTTACAATTCCAAAAAAGCATAAAGAAGAATCGTTTGTCTGAAAGGATAATAATTTTGAGCAATATATTCCCTGGAAGCAAAATGAGTATATTCAGAAACACCATTTAGATTAGTCTAATTCTATAGAATCCAAATGTGCACCAAACACTGCACTTTTTATGTCAAATTGCTGTTGAATTTGTTAACCCACAACTGATTTCCTGTGTTATGGAATCTTGGAGATTACAGCTAACTTGAAGCAACAGGGATAATTCCTGACAGTTAATGGTACATTTGTATGCATTTTCCTGAAAGGCTAGCATCTGGTGGTCTCAAACTGGTAGCTCAACATTGCCCCCTACTGCTTGCAACTGAAAAAATATGAGGTGGGCTGGTACAAAGCAGTTTAACCAGCCAGTGCTAGTTCCAGCCCGAGCACAATTACCAGATGGCACAGTGCTAACAGAGCCAGAGACGCTTCCAGTGACTATTCTCTTCCACCTCTTCCAAGAGCAAAAACAAATTATTATGAATTTGTTTAAAAGACACTTAAAAGGGCTTGAAGCAATGCTTAAATTTAATTTAGAAGTACCGTCCCTTTTCTTTTGGCCCAAACCTTCACTCTGCTGATAATGATCACCCTGAGGTTTGCTGAGAGACACTGAGGCCATTGATTGCTCTCAGAACACTCAGCCATGCCCCACCACCGCAAGGAAACTCTCTGGAGAATCCCCAAGGTTGCTCTTCTTCTTAGCATTTCTTACACAACAGTTACAAAGTAAATAGAAGATATTCCATCTAGTGCCATCGCCGCCAAATTAAAAGAACATTATAACTGAATGTTTTAAATGAATTGATAACGAACATCATTGGAAAGCTCACAATACCAAAGATTTCACTAAAAAAAACAACCCTAGAAGAAAAGCAATTCAAAGGCATTTTTTTTTTTTTTTACAAAATCAGTGAGTTCCTTTCTCATTTGTTCACCGACTCTAATTTGTAGAGTTGACAAATTAGAATCCCAAAGTCTAGCTGATGTCTTAGAGTCAAGGTTCGGCAAGGAAAGCAGCTCTGACTCAGATGTAAATGGACAAAACCAGCTTTACACAATGAAAAAAAAATTCTCTGACACTGAAGCGGCCTGCATAGATACCATCCCGTAAAAACGGAGCATCCTCTCCAAAGCCTGGAGCTGGGAACAGAACTAACTCAGGAGACGTCGGCACGGACTCTTCCTCACCTCCAACTCAGTTTACAACGCTCGGCTGTGCACCGATCCGTGTCTTTGGAGAAACCCATTTCTGTGATACAAACAAGGATTGTAACATTCCTTCCTCAGACGTACCTCCATGAAGAGGCATGGCTTAAGGATCTGAGATGTCTGGAAGGCAGGGACTTCTGGATTCTGACCCAAACTTGCAAACTGGAGCTCCTTTAGGGCTGTGACTTGATCTTTTCATCATTACAGAATAGGGATTAGCAATAGCTACCATTTTTGCAGATTCATTCATTGTTTCCAGCACATTTAAAAGTCTATGCGGGGTACTATCTCAAGAGTTTAGCAGGCTTTTATCACTTTTCCACTACATTCCAAATTCAGCTATTTGGAGGCAGGACAGCAAGGCGACGCAACCCTGGAGCCAGCCTTGCAACCCTGGAGCCAGCCTTCCGAGTTCAAACCCCAGCTCTCCACTCATGGCTGCACGACCTTGAGGAAGACATGTGAGCCTTCTGTGCTTCAGTCTGCTCGTTTGGAGAATGGCGAAAAATCACGCCTACTTTACGAGGTTGTCATAAAAGTTAAATAAGATATATAAAACATTTAGAATAGTGTCTGGTACTTAATAAGTATCATGCAAGTGGTTGCTATGATTACTATTATTTAAATTCAGACTTAATTCGAGACCTTGGAGGTGGCCACTTGGGGTGGCCTCCACTTGCCTTCCAGCTACATTTCCTCCTCCATCCCCTGAATTCCTTGCTCTAGTCACACTGCACTTCCCACTTCTGACCTCGTTTTTACAGTCTGGAGCCTAAAGTTCCTCTCCAAACACCCTATCCGACCCTACTCCTCCCCATCGAAGGTCCCCAAAAGCCACTTCTGGTGTTTCACAGCATCCCCAGCGCCAGTGGTCTGGATTTAATACTCCCTCCTCGGGACTGTGATTTTTTAACTCTCTATTACAGGATCTCATTCTAGCTAACGTAACACCTGGCTGTATTCACGTCTCTCTCCTTGTTGAACAGAATGCAGTGGTTAAAAGCAGAAGCTACAGAGCCAGGCGGCCTGGGTTTCAGTCGGGCTCTGCCACTTACTCGGTGACCTTGGGCAAGGCACTTAATTTCCTTGTGCTTCGGATTTCACATCTATAAATTAAGGTTCATAACAGTTTCTGCACCTCACAGGACTGCTGTAAGAACTTTACAAGTTAATAGAGGAAAAACTCTCAGAATAGTGCCTGGTGCATATAAGAATGCAAATGTATGTTAGATATTACCAAGGTATTGCTCTCCCCTCATCGTCACATCCCAGCACATGGCCAACCCAGTGCCTTATATGTAGGAAACACTCAATGAATGTTCACTGAACTGAACTGAGGTTGTACGACAAAATCCCATCTGTTCCCATCAACTCACCAAGAGGAATCTAACCAACCTGACCAATAATTTACAATAATTTAACATGTATCTATCCATGCAAATTAGGCAGCAGAGGATGTATATCGCACAAGGTATCAGAAAATACAGTCCCAGTTGTCAGGTGCTTACCACGGCTTCCATCTTCTTCCACAGTTCTTCCAGCTGAGTCATGGGTTGACACCACCAGTCAGTGCACTTCTTGTATCGATTGCCTTGAAACCAAAACTGTCTCAGCCACTCAAACTCGACCTGTGGACCATAAAGGCAAGGCAGCGGTTATAATGCCCTTGCGATGGACAATCAAGGACAATAACTTCGTCACTCAATTCTCCTCTAGGAACTTAATAGCCATGGGGTGAGAAAAGATGAGAAAAGTTCAGCCTAACCAGTTCCTAATAGAACCTGCAGTCTCCAGAGCATTTGTGCAAAGCCAAGAAAAGAGTAGTCTTAAAAGCTTAGTAAGATAGCCCAGGTCAGGATGGGGAGGGCTTTCAATCACATTTATGAGTCAGACGCGAGGAAACTAGAAGTCAATCAGCAACAAATACTGAGATCTCAAAGTATAGAGCAGCCTGTACCATGTATAGCGAGAAAGATATAATCTAGCACAATGTTTTTATTAAAATCTTTATTAAAGACTAGTATTAAGAGCAAAACACAGACATATTAGGAGATATCAGTTTTAAGTTTCTTAGATTTAAAATACATAAAGAATTTACCTGTGGGCCAGGAGGAGCTGGTGATACTATCCATCCACATAACTAAACGATATGAAGTTAAGTATGAAGGCATACATACATTAAACCTAGAGAGCCATTCAAATTGTCACTTTTCAAGTCAGTCAGGGCAAATGAAAATAGGTACAAAGAGCAGCAAAGACACTAATAATTTATTTCCCTTCCTAAGAACCTACAATGGTAAACTTCTATTATTTGCCTCCTTAGCACTCCTCCTTCTATTCTAACCAAACCCTACTATTCGTTTGGTAACCCATCCCCTGCTGCCCCAGTCTCAGACCATGTGATCTGGGTAGAGCTCCAGCTCTAATACCAGGGGTGGAACATGCAACCCAAATCTAAGCTAATCAGCCCATCACATTTCTCTAGTCACAGAATTGAGTTGAAGGGGAATAGGCATATATTCAATCAGAGTAAGTCCTAAGACTGTCAGGAGATAGAGGAAGAAGATTCTGCAACCATCTTGGAGAATGGAGGCAACACAGTAAGAAACAGCTACAAGATGAACAGATAAAAACCAGGTCCTGGTGACATCAACTGACCCTTGATCAAGCTGTTCCTGAAGCCCTTTTTGCTTAAACCAATGCAGGTTGAGTTTTCTGTCCTTGCAATTGAAATCATCTCAACATACATAAGTGAGAGACCGGGTAAAGTTTGGGAGGATAAGCAATTGTTTCCTATCTATATTCTAAGTCTTCTATCACTCATCTTGAATTTGAAAAAATCAAATTGTACATCAAAGTACAACTCCATTCATTCCCAAAACTCTCTTTACCTCTGCCCTCTAAAAAAATTTAGAGCTTTCACAGCTTAATGTTGGGTCATCTGACTTTGCTAAGGTAATCATGTTCCACATACAGACACAGAGCTATTATAATCTTCGCCTGTTACCACAAAGAATTTTTTTGTTTGTTTATCCATATTGAACTTTCATGAGGCAAACAAAAGCAACTTGTGAAGATTGAACAATGGTGAAAATGGCTCAAATAACTAACCTGAGAACACTAAGTCATATGAAAGGGTTTTAGTTTACATTAACTAAATGTTTGTTTGAAATGTAGAACTGATTTCAGTTAAAGCTGTTTAAACAAAAAAAAAAAAAAAAAGGAATGTAGACAATATTAAGACAATAGTTGCTAAACCTTATCTGTGGTATTAAAAGACAGCGGTGAACAGAAGTAAACCTGACTGCTTTGAAAGCAGAGTGAATACAAGTGTAGTTCAACTTCTCTGAAGATACCAGTTCAACAACATTATTTATTACCAAAAAACAAAGAGTTCTTTTTAAAGATTTCACACGAAATTTGTTCACACTACAGGAATAGCCTGTCAGCAGAGCATCAAGCCCTATGTGAGGGAGAGCGAAAAGCTTTTAAAAGGTTTTCCTATGTTTGGGCGGGTTATTTCCACGGACGAGGACAGGGCACGTAAGCCTTGGCAACTGTGCTATGCCAGGAAATAAAACAGAGTCCCACACGTAATGAGTTCACATTCAGCCCATCAGGGCAGGCTACTATCTGTCTTTCAGTCAATTAAAACTCAGAAACAAGGAGGGGGCATACCTGGAGACTTTGCTATCAGACAAACAAGCAAAGAAAGACCCCACTGTCCTTTTTAATAAGCAACGATTGCATCTTTCTCCTCCGATGCCCAACTATCTCTTGAGGCAGACAGTGTCATGGTTAAGAATAAGGGCTCCGACGTCAGCTCAAAACAGGGCTCCACTACTGATGAGCCATGTCATCTGTACAATAAGGATGATGACATTATAACCACATAGGTTTGCGGTGAGGACTAAGTGGGTTAATAATGAACGGCCTCCTATACGCCAGGCACTTGCTAGACGCTGAGAACACGACCGAACAAGGCCCCAAGGCCTAGAGCTTAATGTCCACAAAGATCTCACAGTCAGGAATTTTCTGAGCAGGAAGAGTTCTACCGCCCACGTCAACCCACGCCCACTCCTCTTTCACTGAAGCCAGTCAGAAAAGCTAACACTGAAGACCTAGTCCCCACGGAGTTTTAATCATGAGTGGAAGGACTGCCCCTAAGAAACAATCTTGGCGGCATCAAATCTATTGGCCTGCGTTTTATTCAACTCCATATCCTGACTTTTTCATTTCAATGTTGTGGGCAAAAAATACTACAGGATTTTCATCAAACACCACCCTCACCAGTCCCCCCACTGCCAAGAGAAGTAATTGGCTCCTTTCTTAAAATTAATTAAGGAGGCAAAAAATATTTCCAGGTGCTTGATTCAGAGTTTGAGTTACCAAAAGAAATGTTGTTGTTTTTCCCCTAAACTCTGAGGTTGAGAAAGGAAAGCTACAGGGTGGACACTGCACAAAAGCAGGACTCAGAATAGAATGGAAGCCTTATTGCTTCAGGCTAAAAACATCAAAGTCTAACCATACTGACTGACAGATACAGTCCCAGCCGTAACAGGACTCGGGTCCTCCTCCCTTCTCCAGAGTGCAGCCCCCCAGGGAGGCTCACAGCTACCAGAACAGAAATGAGAGACAAGCCACCAGGAGGGCAGCAGCTACCTGTGGCCAAGGAACCACCCACGGGGACGCAGAACCCCGAGGATGAGAGCAGCAGAGAGAAAACACACAGGAGCTCTTGAGTTCTCTCAGAGTTCACCATGCTTAAAAACCAAACTCCTAGATTTCAGACATGCACTTAATGGAGATTCACTCCTATTCAATCTTTTGAGCAATTACACTACAATGACAAGTACTGCTCACAGGTATCAGGTGGTATACTGACAGCCTGGAGGCCCTGCGGGATCTGGAAGGGACTTCTGAATCATCAGAGAAAAATGAAACCATGTTCCTAATAGTGTTCATTCCACAGCTGTGACCCAGAAAAACCATCTTGATTGCCCTCTTAACTAACCTAGACCTGCCTTTTCCATGGATTAGTCAAAAAAGAGATCAAGCCAAAAAAGCACTTCTAGAAATGGCTAGGAAAAGTCCGAAGGGGAGGAAGAAACAGAATCCACTGACCTACCTGAACCTTCTTGGTCACTGGGCACTCAGGCATTGGGGAGCAAAGCTTATAAGATTCCAAAGTCACACTTCTGAGCCACAGCATCACCATGTGGGTATAACTCCTCTTCGTTACTCGTACAGGTAAGCAAACATCGCCTGCTTTTCTCCTGCCAAGTTAGCCTGTGCTCCTGATTTGGTCCCAGGTCAGTACATGCGGTTCCCTCCTGAGGTGTGTGAACACCCTCACGGGGGTTAATGTCCCACTCGGATAACTGAAATAAGTTATTTCACTGAGAAAGACATTAGACCAGGGAGAGATGCTAAGGTCCAATCTACAAGGAGCTGCCCTATGAAGGCCCTTTCACAACAGCTCTCAGGAAGATGCAGTTCTGATCAGAAAGAAAGGAGAACCGAATGATGACATCACACAGTACCTTTTCCTCGGGGAAATTTTCTAGGTGAAGAGACTAAATTCGACATTTTACATTTTTAAGAAGGAAAACAGACTATTTAATAACACAAAGGAAGATTCTGTTTTATCTGAACGAAAGTCTTTTCTAAGCATCTTAAATTAGAAAAAAAAAAAACGTCTTCTTAAGGTACTCAGTGCCAATCCCAAAGTTCCCAAGTTGCTTGGTTGGAAACTGTCTCAGTCAAGGAAAAGAAGCTACTTCTGATCCCACATGGCCTGAAAGCCTGCAGCGCATAAAACCAAGGACTTCCCTGAAAATGAGTCCAGCAAAGGCACAAGGCATTTAGGAAAGAGGAAAGCAAACAACAAGAAACCAGGGTAACTACTATGGACATTTGTGTTTCAGCTTAACAACAGAACATGGCAGAGAGTGAGCGTGCAAGTGCTCATCCCAGGCCAACCTGTATGGCGAAGGAACAATGGCTGACCACGTGCCCTGGCATCTGGAATTAATCTTAAAGTAAGGAGATGACCTTGAAGAGTCAAAGATTTGGGGGTGGAGGAGGCTGGCACACACGCTATTTACATTCCCTCTCCATTCAACCCGAGGCCAGCCTCCAGGGGCTAAGGTTTCTGTACATCTCTGCCCCACTTTGCTAACATATACAATGTCAAAAGCAGTCAGCCACTTTCCGAAGCAGAGGGGCTCATGACAATATTCTGTTAGATAAACAGTGTGATTTTACAGATTTCCCTCACCCACTGATGACGATAAAACATCACAGTCAGTCACAGATGAAGACCAGAAAGAACACGCGAAAAAAAATAGCCACCTGCATGTTAAAGAGATCACCCATTCTGCCGGCCTGACTCCTAAAACTGCGAGGTTGTCAGGAAAGGAAATAACTACATTTTCAGAGTAGAATTTCTTCACTACAAATGTGGAGGAAGACATAACTTTGCTCCCAAGTCTAATTCAGTGAGGTGACCAGGCCCATAAATGCTTATCTTTCCTGAAATCCCAGCTATCGGCAATGTCTCTAACAAGGACTGATGGGAGAGAAGCTGGGACACTTAAGAGGCACAAGGAAGGGAAGAAAGTCAGTCCTGGGTTCAGCTTAGCATTAGAAATGGTTATTACTTCCATGAATTTCTTTGCCTTTGGTTCTGGAGACTAAGGCAATGTTTCACAAAGTGTGGAGCAGCTCGTAAGATATTAAGCATCTTTCTAAAGATATTGGATGACATTGTGGAAGCAGACATTATCTCTCCTCTGCTCCAAATCCCTGAATGACTCCCCATTTCCCTCAGAGTAAAAAGGAAGGTGCTTGTCCTTTACAGGGACCCCCAGGCACTGATAGCGTCGGCTGCTCTCCAGCGCCCCAGCAGCCTCTCTCAGTCCTCATCTCCTGTAACTCACAGCCCACTGCTGCCATCAAACCAGACCGTCCCTGACCTAGGCCGGGACGAGCAGGCATTCTCCCACCTGACAGCTTCTGCAGTGGTTGTCCCCTCTACCCAAAACACCGTTCCTCAGATGTCCACATGGCTCACTCTCTCACCTCCTTCAAGTCTCGGCTCCCAGGACAACTTCTCAGTGGAGATGTTCTCTAGGTATCTCGATCTTCATTAACTCACTCTATTTGGTTTTTTCTGTAGCACTTATCAACTTCTAACATACTACATAATTAACTGATGTATTATGTTTATTATTTATTGTCACCTTTCTGCACTAGAACATCTATTTTATTTACCAATATATCCTAAAGCACCCAGAGGAGTGCCTGGCACATGCTCAATTATTTATTGAAAGGATGAATGAGAACATTTTTGTATTCCAAATTCTCCATCAATCCTAATTATATCAAAGATAAAGTCTCAGATGGGTGATAATCTTCACCACTTGGTAACTCTTTTTTCCTTTTAATAGCTTTTTCTTTTTGAGGTATAATTTACCCACCACAAAAATCACCAATTTTATGTGTAGAATTCAATGCCTTTTAGAATATTTATGAAGTTGTGTGCCAATCTCTCTTCTTAACATGAGGAATGAAGACTTTAGGCTCAGAGCCTTCTCCTGGCAAGAGCATCTGCCAGAATTTAATAACCTTGCTCTCTGTTTTCACTGGCTATATTTTTCTGGTTACTTTTTCTTCTGGCTAGTGATACTAGCTTTCCACTTAAAGGGGTAAAATGAGGCTTCTTTTTTAGAGAAATTTATTTATACAAAAAATGAGTTAATTTAAAAAATTTATTAAATGGATAAAAACTAGATATGTAGTTCAAATATAAGGCAAAAATTGGAAAGGTATTAATGAAAACAGCAAAGCTTATGAAGCACTGACTCATGGGATCCAGACCTGCTGGTCTCACAGACTGCAGAAGTGCCACTAATAAACAAAAGGCCAGGCACTGACACTTGCTCCTGGGGTCCACCCATAATTCCCACCGGTCCTGTTGGGAGACTATTCTTCATGGGGTCTTGTGCTTCTGCATATCTTGTGAGCAAGCTTCCGACTGCCCTTTGTTTCAGACTCTCTTTGCAAGGATGTTCGTTTAGTGAACAGCCTTGGAAAATCGAGTTTCTTCCTCTAGAACAAAGGCCAGGTCTGCTCACAAACTTCAAGGATAAAGGCTGTGTCTTGATTTGGAGTAAAGGACAGGCATGCTTACTACTCATTATAAAAGATTCGGGTTCCTCTCGAATAACGCAACCCCTCCATGTGCACATGTTATCTGGCCCACTTTGCACTGCCCTATGGAAATAAAAGCTTGGAGAACTGGCACAAAAATGCTGATACTCTAGGGGCCAGCTGGGTAGTGCAGTGGTTATGTTCGCACATTCTGCTTCAGTGGCCCGGGATTCGCTGGTTCGGATCCTGGATGTAGACATGGCACTGCTTGGCAAGACATGCTGTGGTAGGCATCCCACATACAGAATAGAGGAAGATGGGCACAGATGTTAGCTCAGGGCCAGTCTTCCTCAGCAAAAAGAGGAGGATTGGCAGCAGATGTTAGCTCAGGGCTAATCTTCCTCAAAAATAAGAGAAAAACGCTGATACTCTAATACTGCTACTGTGGTAAGTAATAAACTGTCCTTTGTCTCTGATCTACGAGTCTCACGTCTTATACCCATAGGAAACTGTGACAGATTAACGTGTTAGCTTGTAAGTAAGACAGAACCTCACACCCTTCACAGTTCTTGAAAGTCCTCACCTCATTGTGGATTTCTTCTCCTTGTTTCAAAACTGCAGGCTCCAAGGATTTCAAAGAGACATCGCCATTGTCCGTCTCATCACGAATATTCTGCAGAGCCAACTGGCAGCGCTGTACGATATAATCCAAGGTTCCCGTGGAGCACTGCAGAGACAGAGCCAGCGATCAAGATGACAAGCAAAAGCCAAGCTTAGCACGCCTCTCTTCTAGGACTGTTCACATTGGTCCCCTTTCCGCACACTCACCTGTCACCCTTACAACTCAGCCCGTACTCCTTAAGAATTACTTTGGTGGCCTGGTCACTGGGCTCCGTGCTGCCGACTGGCCTCACCAGGGCCACTCATCTTGCTGGTTTTCTTTTATTATGTGGGTCTCATATCTCTAACTAAACAGGAGGCTCCCTCAGGGTAAAGTCCTACTTTTACATGCATATTCGACCTATGCCGCAGCACCTAGAACTGAGTGCTAAGTGTAAAAGAAACTTATAAGTAGTTATTGGATGAATAACTAATTAACCAAGAATCAAGGACACTGACTTTATCTCAAGGGCCCCGAACCCAACAATGGGAAAGAAAGGTAAGAGGATTGTGGAATTGGTTCAAAAGCACAAAAAACAGAACAGTGATGGTAGAAAAAAATTGAACTTATAAACACAGGGCAAAGAATTCATTTTCCTTTTCTGCAAAAAGCACTACGCAACTGCAGTCCTCAGCAGAATAGATTCTTCAAATAATGGAGAATATGTGGCTCATGCCCTCAAGGCATGTTCAAAGGCATAACTCAGTACCTGGGTATCAGCAAGGGCACAGATAAATAGTTGAACCTCTCTGAGTCTGTGGGAGCAAAACAGAGGTCAAATGGACAAGCTCCTTCTCTGAACGATCCTATGTCAGACAAGAAGAGGATGCAGATGGAGTGTGCATCCGTTTGTTTGGATAACGACATGATTTCCTAGAATGATAAAAAGCAAGCTATAAATAGCCTTTAGACCCAATGAGGGAAACATATCCCTAAAGTATTTTTAGTTTAATATTTATAATTTAAACTGATCCCTTAGAAATAACCTTGAAGGCTAATCCCTTGGTACAAAAATTCTTTGCACACTTATTGGCATTTTATACAATGTGAAATGGACAAGCCCGGGAAAAACAAAGTTTCTGTGCCAAAAACAGAAGCTTGACTAATATGTATATTAATATGAAGATCCCAGAGTGTTGGGAGCACAAGGGCAGGCAGCTCCAATTTGCTACAGGGAAAAAACAAAAAACGGAGTTGAATTACTACTCACTTTTGTCCCACAGCCACCCCTACAGCATTTTTAAAAAATGACATTCTACTTTACTTTCCCAAGCATGGAGTGACCTACTTAAGAGGTTATTAATTGCAATGCCATTTATTATAACAAAAGATTGGAAACAACCTAAATTTCCCATCAACTGGGAACCAGTTAAATGAACTATGGTGGAGCCATATTTGCAGCCAAAAGAAAAAGGAGGGGGAAATATGTTTTCTTTTCTGGGTGTTTAGAGTTTTATCTCGTGTAAAGAACCTATAATCAGGCCAATTTTTTTTATAACAGCTTGAGTGAGATATAATTGACATGTCATAAAATTTATCCATTTAAACCATACAATTTGATGTCTTTCAGTATCTTCAGAGTTGTGCAACCATCACTACAATTAATTTTAGAACATTTTTATCACCCCAAAAAGAAAGCCTGTACCCTTTAGCAGTCAGGTGCTCTCATTTCTACCAACCTTCTCAGCCCTAGGCCACCACTAATCTAGCTTCTGTGTGTATAATTTGACTATTTTGAGTATTTCATATAAATGAAATCATACAATACGTGATCTTTTGGGGAAGGCTTCTTTCACTCAGCATAATTATTTTCCAGGTTCACACATGTTGTAGCATGTATCAGTACTCCATTCCCTCTTGTTGCCAAATAACATTCAATTATACGTATATGCCACATTTTGTGTATCATTTGTTAGGTAATAAATCTTTGGGTTGCTTCCATCTTTTTGGCTATTATGAATCAAGCTGCTATGAACACTTGCATACAAGTTTTCATTTCCCTTGGATATGTGCCTAGGCATGGACTTGCTGGGTCACACGGTTAAGTCTGTGTTTAACCTTCTGAGGAAGGGCCAGACTGTTTTCCAAAGTGGCTGCGCCATTTGACATTCCCTCCAGCAGTACACGGGGGTTCCAGTTTCTGCACATCCTCACTACCACCTGTTACTGTGATTTTGATGACAGCCATTCTAGTGGGTGTGAAGTGGTATCTCATTGTGGTTTTGATTTGCATTTCTCTGATGACTAATAATACTGAGCATCTTTTCATGTAATTATTGGCCATTTGTATATCTTCTTTGGAGACATATCTATTCGACCCTTTGCCATTTTTAAAAGTTGGATTATTTATCTTTTTAATTATTGAGTTGTAAGAGTTCTTCATATATTCTAGATACAAGTACCTTCTGAGATGTATGATTGGCAAATATTTTCTCCCACTTTGTAGGTTTTCTTCTCCCTTTCTTGATGGTACCTTTTGAAGCATAAAAGTTTTCAACTTTCATAAAGTCCAATTTATCTATTTTTCTTTGGTTGCTTGTGCTTTTGGTGTCATATCTAAAAAAAACCCATTGCCTACTCTAAGATAAAAACTACATATTGGTAAGCAATTATCACCAAGGTTTACTGAAACAAAACAAAACAAAAAGTGCAGAATAGTGTGTAGGGCGGGCTACCACTTGTATAAAAAATATTTTTTAAATTGCACACGTACTTGCTTCATATTAAATGGCACTGAAAGGATAACAAGAATCAGATGACACTGAGTGCCGCTGGGCAAGAGGAGCTGTTTGGCTTTAGGAGAAAGAGACCTTAACTGTATACTCTCAGGTACTTTTTGAATTTGGAACCATTTGAGTAACTACCTATTTAAAGTATAATTATACATAAAATTTAAATTTTAAAAAAAATATTCAGTGTTGAATCCCAAGAACAATCTGTCACAACTAGAAGAAAACTGAAATCAAATAAAAGTTGAGAGCCATCAGACATAATCTAGTCATATGCAACCGAAAACCTGAATAGATTTCTTCTCTGATTAACTAAAATGAATTTCAGAACATCGTTTCCGAAGGACAGTCTGTTTCCTACATATTGTGAATGGGCAGAAACTAGCAAATCATTTTCTTTCGCACAGATAAGACATGTCATGTTAATACTGGATGAAGGAGAGGCCATTTGTCGACTAAGTGAGGGCTATAAACGTGCACGGATTTTCTTTTCCCCTTCTATTGAGGGAAACAATAATGCAACTTCAGAGCTGGGAAAAAATCTTTTTCCTCTTTTATTATTGAAAACAATAATATAAGATGAAAGAATTTTTAAATAAGATAAAAACATAATCCCATTATCTCACCCTATTTAATAATCTTTATCGCATGTGATCCTTTGTCTATACACAGTTGTGATCCGTATATACATATCAATTTACAATCATGCGTTGCATAACGACATTTTGGTCAATGATGGACCGCATATATGATGGTGGTCCCATAAGATTAGGACCAAATAGCCCAGGTGTGTAGCAGGCAATATCATTTAGGTGTGTGTAAGTACACTCTATATAACGTTTGCACAATGACAAAATCACCTAACTATACGATTTATCTGAATGCATCCTTGTTGATAAAGCGACACAGGACTGTATATGCTGTTTCTCACTGGCTGTACACAAGTATTCAAAACTACCATTTTCAATGGTTGCTCACTGAAGTGATAGTCCACAATTTAACTAGTCACGTACTATAAAGGCATTAAGGTTCTATCCAACTTTTCACTATTATTTATCGCACTAGATAAACATCTTTATACACACACACACACACACACACACACACACATATATATATACTTCTTTTGAATTATTTCCTAGGTTTGAGTCCCAAAAAGAGTGTTATAAGATCAAAGATATGAACATTTTTATGGTGCTTTATACATATCTCCATATAGCTTTCTAAAAAGTATACCAATTAGAAAAACTGCCAGAAGTATATGAATGTACCAGTTTCACTGTAACTTTACCAGCATTAAATATTACTTTTGACTATTGGGTAGAAATAAAAAGTTACCTTAAAATGGTGATTTCTTTAAGAATTACTTTTAACTTAAGGTGATTTTAAAGCATGTATACACAGGATCATGTACAACCATCAGCAAACTTTCTCTTAAAAGGCCAGATAGTAAATATTTCAGGTTTGCAGGCCATAAGGTCTGTGCTGCAACTACTCAACTTTGCCACTGTTGCTCCAATGCAGCCATAAACAACATGTAAACAAAGGAGTGTGGCTGTGTTCCGATTAAAATTTTATTTACAAAAACAGCCAGCAGGCCCACGGGCCACAGTCTGCTAACCCTGATCTGTAACAGGGAACGCAGGATAGTCGCATCATTCACATTATGTGTGTCCCCTTAGTAAAATATCATGTAGCTAGAACTGAAGTTCAGAGAATATAAAAGACACAGATTTGGGGTAATGTTTTTTTCCCAAAAGCATCACTATACATACCTACCTCTTCACTAAAAGTTACTGCTCAAAATTTTATCTAAAAACTAGAAGATACAAATACACCGATGACTAAGCAGAAAAGCTAAACTTCAGGATATTTTGAAAGCACTGCTACTCTAATAAAATTGGTCCAACTGAAAAAAGGAAATAAGGTCAGAGGGATACTTTTCAAACTGTACTCTGAAGGGCTCCTTTTGGAGGCTTCTGTGTATGTGTGTATTTACTGCAGGAAGCGGGAGGAGAAGTTGCCTTAGTTCTCACAAGTTCTAGTTGCATATTTCCATTTGCCTGCTGGACCTCTCTACTTGGCAGCTCCAACACAGCCTGTTCAAAACTGAACGAACTATGATCTTCCCCCAACGTCTTAGGCTCCCTGTTTCTACCAATGGTAATGGCATCCCCAAATCACCCAGGCTTGGAACCTCAGAGTCATCCAAGAGCCTGGCACATGGAAAACATCCAATAAAGACTTCGTTTGTTCGTCCATTCGTTCATTCATTCATTCTTACATTCCTCCCTCCATTTCAGTCAGTCAGTCGTCAAGCCTAACACTATGTCTCCTACGCGAGTCATGGGAATTTCCTCTTTTTTCCTGCTGCCACTACATTAGCTCAGACCCTGATAGGTTTAATGGATGTCTCTATCATTTTCATCCTCCTAAAGACATCTCCAGTATGTCACTACCAAGATAGTAAATAATCAATAGCCCCCACATGCCAACCAACTTAAGGTCAAACACCTAATCTGAAATCCAAGAACTTTTACAATCTGGTCCCACACAGGAATCAGCCTTATCTGCCAACATTCCCTTCTGGCATCCTGATATCCAGTCCGAGTACAGCCCAAGAATTCCCATGCCATCCCAATCACAAGATTCCACCTGAGTCTTCAGCCCATTAGCTGTCCTAAATTGTCTTAAAATCCCCTAATTCCCACACGTTCAAGTCTTCCATGTAACCTCATCCGGGAAGCCTCATGTGTCTGCTACTCTCTATTAGACTGTAAGCATCTTGAAGACACCAAACATGCCAGCTACTCCTGTTCACAAGTGCCTAAAAGAGCACCCTGAACACTGGAGAGTTCAACAGTTTGCAGAGTTGCATGAGTGAACTAAAATTACTTCCCTTCTTCTGAATCGTAGCTTTCAATCAATACCAACTCTTACAATCAGGACTCACTGACAACTGAGTGTCTCCTGCTGTACTCTGCATGCTCTAGTGTGTAAATGGAGACAGACTAGCCTTCCACACAGAGCTTTGGTTGTCCCTGTCTCTGATTAGCTTACTGCAGGAGCAGTGACAGTAATAAGAGTCATTTAATAATAGGAGTAGGGGCCAACATTCTTTGAATGCACACTCTATAGCAGCCACTGTTCTAAGAGACTGACATGTATTACTTCATTTAATCCTCACCAGAACCCTAGGAATTAGGTATGATTGCTATCCTCATCGAATATATTTTCTCAAACCCTTTATTCATCATTTTGGACCAGGCCTCGGAGCACAGCACTAATCAGCTTGTGTACTCTTCCAGGTTAGATCAGGAAAGATGCAAGAAGAATACACGTAAGTAGCCACACATTCAAACTGATCCAGGAGAAAAGGACTCTTGGGAGGGTTATAGCTAGAAAGACAGATGCCTATAACGTCTTGCACAAAAATGAAGTCTTTTTTGTACAATACAAAGCACATATTAGATGCTCTATAAATGCTTGCTCATTCTTCTTCCCTCATTCCTCCTTTCGCTCCTTCACTTCTTCTTTCCTTCCTGACTCCCTAACAGAACTTACTTTTAGGTGTCTAAGATAATTACTTGTGTGTTTGTTTGTTTAATATTTGTCTTCCTGACTAAAATGCAAGTTCCACACAGGTAGTGGCCATAATTGTCACATTGATGGCTCCATCTCTGAAGCCTGCAGTGCTGTGAGGCACATAACGGGCACTCAAATATTTAGACGAATGAGTGAACAGAGGAGAGAAGAAAGGGAGAAAGGAATGCTTGAAGGGATGGCTGGCATCTTGATCTACATAGACACTCAAGCCCTCTCTGCCACACAGCAACATGATCAGTCCACTAGAAAAGCTACTTAATTACCAAAGGTCATCACAATGCCTTACAGACTCACAGTCTCCGGACGGAAAGGGGCTCATGCTTGTGCGTCCCTGACACTTTCTTGTACCCCGTCTGCCCAGCTTTCTCACACTGGTCCCCCTGTGCTACGATAAGTCAAGCTACAAAGCAAAGCTCAGAAAACAAGCTTGGTTATGAGGTCAATTTGTAATCCTTTTCATGATTATTCCCCTACTCTCTGGAACTCTTCTTAACTGAGCACACAGTACCCCCAAGTGACTACTAAGGGTTTTCCTCCTCTTTTAAGCTTCCATTCTGAACTAGTCTAATCAGCTGACCATCAGCCACTGCAAGTGGTGGCAGAACTTAGCAATAAAGTCTGGGTTATGAACACAACTGGGGAGCTCAGAAATTCCTTGGCACCACTGTAACTTTGTCCTTAATTTACATTCACATGCCCAGAAGCCTGACCAAAAAGTTAAGAGAAATTTAAATTCTCAACCATCTGAGCCCAGACACAGCTAACACATGCATAAGCACACAAATCCACCCCATTTCCTTCTGGCCATCTCCTGCCCTTGACCTTGACAGACACAAACCCCTTAGAAAATCTCTAACCAGCAACACCTGCCAATGGCATTTACCATCTCCAAGAAACATAACCCCAAAGAAGCAAAATATACTTATCCCAGGCTGTGATACTTTTTAAAACTGTATCCAACGAACTCAAAGCTAAAAAAGCAAGTAAACAGAGGCAAAGTCAAGTTAGATGGAAGCAATTATCCTATCAAATACACTTCCAAAGTTCTATGATAAATTGCTCATTCAACCACTTCTGTCACATCCAATTAAGTTTGAATCACATTTTTATTTACACTTACCTCTGCCACTCGGTGGGTGGAACTAAACCGAGGTGGTAAACCAGCCAAAACACAGTGCTGGTGGGTGGCATTGAGATCATCTGCAGGAAAAATACCAAAAATTAAAAAGCACACACACACTTATTAGTCACTATATGCTATTTAAAATACAAAGTAAACAATAAATCCATCATTCAAGAAGAACGACAACAACTGAGGAATTAACACTTTGTATTCTTTAAACCATTCTTTACAAGAAGCATCACACTCACACACTCACACACACATATAAAACCATCAAAACCATTACACTTGCAAGAGTGAAAGGGGATGTTATTAATACTTCTTCCAGGACAAGCAGTGTACATCATGACTGTACTTAGCAAATAGGATATATGGTTACCCTACTTATGTGCGGTCTTATGATGCCAACTTACCACAAAGTTTACTATTTACGGATTGAACTTCTTTCTCTTTCTCATGATATATCTAATTCTAACTATGCCTTTAGAATAAGCCAAAATTCTTTTATATTATTTGGAGTTGAACATGTCTCTTCTGAAAATCTGCCTCTTTCTCTCCCCAATCAAAGTATCAATTTCACCCTAAAAACTTTCCGGGCAACAAACCAACCAAGTCAGCATGTTACAAAGCTCTGGCCCTCAGAGCAGAATTCAAGCCTATGGATTCACAACCCAAGATTGGAGTAGGTGGTGAATTCATCAGCTGAAGAATATGCCTAAAGCCATGTGCAGTGGGAGGAAAATCAACAGCTGAGTTATGGCATATTCTAAGAAATGATGCCATAAGTCAGGCAAAATAAGTATCAATTCTGTTTAAGACATCACTTCCTCTGTGACAAAGAAGAGAACTGAACAGTTCTGTTCCCCAGCAACACAAGATTTCCTAGACAGGCAGCAGAGACTTCTTCCCAAGATGGAAAGAAAGGCAATGACTTAAACTAAGAGGCCAAGACCACCACACCCCTTACATGTCAGAGAAAACAACCTATGATATTCTCTCTATACATAAGGAAGGAGACACAAAATGCCAATTGAGAGACTCCTGCTTCTGGACATTCTGGAATAAAAGTGACAAGGTTTACCATCCTACCTCAAAAAACTATAAAACAGACCAAAAATAGGAAACAAAGCTTTCTGACACTGCAAGGTATGATCCTAAAGATAAGAAAAATAAAATAGGTGGGCTCTACAATTGCCCTAGCTTACTACCTGGAAACAGTTTCAAAGCCACAGAGCAGGGAGGAGAGAGTCAAAAAGAGCCCAGAGTTTTCAGTTATCCTTCTTGCTGAGCGTGAAGACAGAGACTGGAGTTTAGGAAGGCCAAGGCAACAGGATGTGGATGGCATAATATTGGACTAGAAGAACCTGCACAGAGAGAGAACAAGTAGATATCTGTCTCCTTCAAGGGTTCCTTCAAGTCTTTGGCAGAGAACTGCTCTGTGCATTCGTGAAAACTTCCTATGGGCAGGAAGAAAGCACCAGAAAGCAGTAGGCTGAACAAATTTCAGATCTCATACAGGGCCATGAATACTTTGTGTTCTCAGCAGCCAGAATGGCTCCTACTACATGAGATAATGGATAAAATCCTTAGAAAAGCATCATCCTAGTAGTAGGGCTAAATTATTTCTAGATAAAAGGCTGCTCTAGAGCCATCTAATAGCTTAAAAGCAAGGCTGAAAAGGATCCAACTTATTCCAAGTAATTTAATTACTCAATAGAGCAAAGTCTGATGCTATTTAAAAGAATATAAAAAAATTAGGCACCCAACAAATAAAATTTGCAATTTCCAGCATCCATTCAAAAAGTAACAGAGGAGAAAACTGAAAGATATATAAGATATATACATATCTTTCCTTTCCTTCACATATACATGTCTTTCATATATATCTATATATATGAAGCTTCTGAAATTGAAAAATGTAGTATCTGAAATAATAAAGATCACATTGAATGAGATTAACAGCACTTTAGACACTGCAGAAGAAAAGATAAGTGAACCAGAATACACAGAAAGAGAAACTATTAAAAATGAAGCACACAAAGACTACAAAAAAATAAATTAATAAAAGGGCATTGATGACCTTTAAGACAATATTAAGCAGGTTAACATAAATGTAATTTGAGTCTCAGGGGAGAAACAAGGACAGAAAAAAACTTTTGAAATGATGGTCAAAGAGAAAACTAAAAATAAAGAATGAGGACAACAAATAGAAAACATTAACAAGATAAATAATCCAACTATGTCAATAATCACTTTAAACATCAATGGTCTAAATACATCAATTAAAAGACAGAGGTTGTCAGAGTGGATGAAAAAATAAGACCCACTGTATGTTGTCCACAAGAAACTCATTTAAGTATAAAGACATCCATGGATTAAAAGTAAAGGAATGGAGAAATATAGACCATGCTAACACTAATCAAAACAAAGCTGGAGTACCTATATGAATTTTAGAGCAGATTTCAAAGCAAGTAAAATTATGAGGCATAAAGAGGGGCATTACATAATGATAAAGGGACCAATTCTCCAGGAAGACATAACAATCCTTAACGTGTGTGTGTCTTAGAATAGAACATCAAAATATTTAGGCAAAAACTAATAAAACAGCAAGAAGAAGTAGACAAATCTACTATTATAGTTGGAAACTTCAAAATCTCCTATCAGAAATGGACAGATCCATCAGCCAGAAAATCAGTAAGGACATAGTTAAACTCAACAAGCACCATCAATTAACTGGATATAATTGACATCTATAGACTACTTCATTCAACAACAGCAGGATACACCTTCTTCTCAAGATCATGTGGAATATTCCCCAAGATAGACTATATTCTAGGACAAAAAATATACCTTAATAAATTTAAAAGAACAGAAACCATACAATGTCTGTTCTCAGACCACAAAGGAATTAAACTACAAATCAGTAACAGAAAGATAGTTGGAAAATTCCAAAATACTAAGAGATTAAACAATACACTTCTAAATAATATATGGTCAAAGAATAAATCTCAAGAGAAATTTAAAAATATTTTGAACTAAATTAAAATATAACTTACCAAAACTTGTGACGTAGGAAAAGCACTACTAAAAGGAAAATTCATAATATTGAATGCATATATTAGAAAAGAATAAAGGTTTAAAATCAATCATAGAAGTTTCCACCTAATCAATAATATAAGTTTCCACCTTAGGAAATTAGAAAAAGTAGAGTAATTTAAATCTAAAGTAAGAAGAAAAAAGAAATAATAAAAATTAGAGTAGAAATCAATGAAACAAAAAACAGGAAATCAATAGAGAAAATCAATGAAACAAAGCTGGTTCTTTGAGAAGATCAATAAAATCAATAAGCCTCTATCCAGACTAAAAAAAAAAAAGAGAGAAACACAAGTTACTAACACCAGAGATGAAAAAAGAAACATCACTACAGATCCAATGGACATTAAAAGGATAATAAAGTAATACTATGAACAGATCTATGCCCACAAATTTGATAACCTAGATGAAATGGACCAATACCTTGAAAAGACACAATTTGCCAAAACTCACACAAGAAGAAACAGACAATCTGAATAGGCCTACATCTACTAAGAAATTGAATCAATAATTAACAACCTTCCCAAAAAAGCACCAAGCCCAGATGAGTTCACTGGTGAATTCTTCCAAACATTTAAGCAAGAAATTATACCAATTCTTTACAATCTCTTCCAGAAGACAGAAGTGGAAGGAAGGCTTCCTAACTCATTCTAGAGGCCAGCAACACCCTAATACTAAAACCAAAGACATTACAAGAAAAGAAAACTACAGACTAATATAGTTCATGAACACAGATGCAAAAATCCTCAAAAAAATATTAGAAAATAGAATGCAACAATGGATAAAAAGACCTAGACACCATGACCAAATAGAATTTATCTAGGTTTTCAAGGCTGGTTCAACATTTGGAAATCAATTAATGTAATCCATCACACTGATGGGCTAAAGAAGAAAAGCCACATGGTCATACCAATAGCCACAGAAAAACATTTGACAATCCAACACAAACTCATGACAAAAACTCTTAGTAAACTAGGACTAGAGGGAACTTCCTAACATGATAAAGAACATTTACAAAAGACCTACAGCTAACACCATACTTAGTGGTATGAAACTCAAAGATCTTCCACTAAGATTGGCACAAGACGAGGATGTCTCTTCTCACCACTCCTTTTCGACCTCGTACTGGAAGACCTAGCAAATGCAATAAGACAAAAATGTAAATAAAAGGTATACAGATTGGCAAGGAAGAAATAAAATCTCCTTTGTCACAGGTGATGTGATTGTCTACACAGAAAATCCAAAAGAACTGGCAAAAAAATCTCCTGGAATTAATAAGCAATTACAGTATAGCTGCAGGATACAAAGTTAATATACAGAAGTCAATCACTTTCCTATATGCCAGCGATAAACAAGTGGAATTTGAAATTAAAAACATATTACCATTTACATTAGCGCCACAAAAAATGAAATACTTAGATATAAATCTAACAAAATATGTACAAGGATCTACATGAGGAAAACCACAAAACTCTGATGAACAAATCAAAGAAAAACTAAATAAATGGAGAGAGATTCCGTGTTCATGGACAGGAAGACTCAATATTGTCAAGATGTCAGTTTGTCCCAACTTGATCTCTTGACCAACAGATTCAACACAATCCCAGTCAAAATCCCAGCAAGTTATTTTGTGGATATCGACAAACTGATTCTAAAGTTTATCTGGAAAAGCAAAAGACCCAAAATTAGCCAACACAACATTGAAGGAGAAGAACAAAGCTGACATTACCTGACATCAAGACTTACTATAAAGCTACAGTAATCAAGACGATGTGGTACTGGCAAAAGAACAGGCAAATAGATCAATGAAACAGAACAGTGAGCCCAAAAACAGACCCCCATAAATACAGTCAATTGATCTTTGACAAAGGAGCAAAGGCAGTACAATGGAGCAAAGATAGTATCTTCAACAAACGATGCTGCAACAACTGGACATCGACATGCAAAGAAAAAAGAATCTAGACACAGACCTTACTCTTTTCAC